ATTTCCGTATTCTCGCCGCGAAGTGAAATAACGAAATCCACAGAACAAAAACTACCTATTTGCTTTCAACTCCTCAACATTCAGACCAGCAACAATAATTTTATTACTCGTGTCAGTGGCGCGAAATAACACAAAGCCATTCATTCATGCGGGGTAAAGAGCAAGACTACCAATCCTGGGCGATTACTCGCCTTTCCTTCGCATAATACAAACAGGGCGAGTTACATGCACTAGAGCCGAGCAAAATCGCTCGGATCCACTTCTCCAACAGTTCTCCCTTCTCTCCTCTCGCTGCGCGTTGCAAGTGAGGATGTGATCTCTCTTGGAGGGCTCGTCCATGTCACTTCACTCCGCGATTTTTTCTCATTTTTTTTTCACCGTGTCGATTTTTGCGTATGTGTGAGTGGAGTCTCCGTGCGAGCAATAATACGCGAAACGCCCTGTGGGCATGTGTACACGCGACTTGCTGGTGTTACGCCGTCGCCACTCGATTCTCTGCCCTCCATCCATCGTAAAGTCGTTCGTAAATCATGTGATATATTATGAAGATCATTTTGAGGGATTTTGTTGCTATTGGGAATTTCATAATCGCCAAATTTGACGCTGGAGACGAAGCGGGGGAGGGAATTAATTTATTTCGACGAATAAAATTCATAGGAAATCCTAGCGAATTGATTTATAAAAAAAAATTAAATGAAATCAAATTAGATTTATTTTGACGAAAAAATTTCATAGAAAACCGTTGCGAATTAATTTATTTCAACGAAAATTGAATTAAATTAAATCAAATTAAATTACATTTATTTCTATGAAAATAAAAATCATAGAACAATCTATAGTGAATTCGATTTCTATGAAACTCTCTATTATTAGTTATTGGCCGAATCTATTTAAAAAATCGGCAGTTTATCTGATAAGTGTTTTTTTTTCAATAGAAATATTTAATAGAAAATATTCTATAGAAAAAAAATCAATAGAATTCGACTTTTCTGTGTCATTTTCCAAGTTTTTTCCACTGTTTTTCTTCTCTTTCAATAGAATCCAATTGAATTTTTCAGTGAATTTCCCACATTTTTCCATGAGATTTTCCGTCCGTACTGGAAAATGCAATCACTGGAATTAGATTATTGCACCGTCTCACTCGATTCGCGGGCGGAAATTGATAACATAAATTGTTCATTTATTCAGAAGGAAATTCATCTCCGCAATTGGGATGGGGGTGCACAGACCCCCGAGATAAAACTGAAATAACTTCAACTTCCTGTGCAAGCGTTTCTCAATCTCTGAATTTTGCACCAACGGATGTTGCCATTTTCGGGCCACTTCCGGTGGGATTCAATTACTTCCGGTGGGTTTTATTGATTCTAACTGGTTCTGGGGCAGTAATTAGTCTACCGAATGTTCAATTGTCATTGTTGACTGTAATAAACCAATAAAGATACGTTAAAAAAATAAAAAGAACTAGAAATTTGAAAAAAATGTTCGAATAAATAGTTTTAATTATTTTTTTTTTCTAAAAAAAAGCATGAGCAATATCTCGAACGAATGGGGAAAGTAAGGGGCATAGGGAAAGTGTGAAAATGATTATAATCAATTAATTGAAAAAGGAAACAGGGCATTATCAATGCACAATAAAAAATTTCCATTTTATTCCCAGTGGATAAAGAAGTTTTTATGAAACATTACGTTTTCCGCCAGCAGAGGCACTTCCGGTATTATTCACCAGTGATCGGCGCACGCGCAGTGTTTTGGAGCTCTTCACGCGATAGCCAAGATGGTGAGTGGTCACGGTGGTGAGAAAAGTGGATAAAAAATCCGTCAATATCCCGAACATCCCCCATTTCTCCCGAGAGAAAGATCATTAGAATGATCGAGCGAGGATTGCTCCATCCAATGATTCCAAAATTTTTGTCTTCCCCAAAATTTTTCGGACATTCACCGGAGTTTTTCTCCGCACGTCGCGAGCGTGTAAACACGGTGGCACCAGTGAACTTTTAGTAATCACAATTATTTATTGCTTTCAGTCCACACACAAGAAGAAGACCAGGAAGCTTCGTGGACACGTGAGCCATGGCCACGGTCGTATTGGTGAGTTTTTCCCCGTTTTAATTTTTCATAAAAATACCGATTTTTGGGTTATGTTCGTGGCTCATACGGGGACTATTGACCCTCAGGCAAGCACAGGAAACATCCTGGAGGTCGTGGTAACGCTGGTGGCATGCACCACCACAGAATCAACTTCGACAAGTACCATCCTGGATACTTTGGAAAGGTGAGACTAACTTTGTTCAATTAACTCATAAAATGGACTCCCCCAAAACGTGGATATCTCCCCAACAAATGGTGCGATTTGAATGAGTCAGGTCTCATTTTGAAGTCTGAAAAAATATCTTTGAAATGAAACAAAAAAATTTGCATTTCACTCAGCAGTTTTCGAGCTATTGACGATTGCAAACTCATGTTTCACTTCAACAATTGTTTTTCTCAGTTAACTTTTTCTTCAATTGATCTCCAATGAATTGATCAATTCAATTTTCTTCCAAACGCAGATATTGTTCAGCCCTATCTGTCGACATTAATTAAAATTTAATTCATATATTTTTAGAATTTTCTATTTTTCTCAAAAATCGGGTATCCCACGATTTTTACAAAAAATCTAAGAGAATTGATTAAAGAAGAAGTATAATTCAACTTAACGAAATAATATAAAATGATAAATAATATATAATAGAAGAACGTGATGTGAAAAATGACTGCTAATTTATTGCTAATTTATTAGCAAAAGCACACTTGACAAAAGCAATTGTCCATTTGTTCTTTAATTTTCCAGAGGAGTTTTATTTCGTCAGATAATTGATCTATTGGAATCGTTTGTTACAGCTTGGTATGAGGAATTATCATCTTCGCAAGAACACCAAGTGGTGCCCTGCGTTAAACTTGGACAAACTGTGGACGCTAGTGTCTGAACAAACCAGGTTAAAGTACAAAGACGCCACCAATAATAAAGTACCTGTCATCGATCTGACGAAAGCAGTAAGTTTCCAAATAATTGTGATGGGACATTTATTCTAATACAGATGTTCATTAATCAATTAATTGATCAATTTATTTATTTACTCAAGTCTCCATAAAGACTCAACAGCACAAACCCAAATTCAAAGTTAAATAATTCAAGATAAGCACGAAATAAAATTTATTTCGTATTACTAAATGTAATGGCATCAATTTAATTGAAAGGAAAAGTTTTTGTTATACTTTGAGATACAAAATGCCCTGAGAACAACTCATTGTTTAGAGTTAAGCCATTTTTTACTATTGTTTAATGTTAAGATGTTAATGTCCTTCATTTCTTAAGGGTTACTACAAGCTCTTGGGCAAGGGACGTCTCCCCAAGCAGCCAGTTATTGTTAAGGCTAAGTTCTTCAGCAAACAGGCCGAGGATAAGATCAAGGCTGTCGGTGGTGCCTGTGTACTTTCTGCGTAAACCTTCGGTGAGTTTCAGTTTTCTTTTTCCTCTCGTTATTCTGTAGTTTTTACAAAAATCGAGGATACAAATTTCACTTTTCAAATATTGAATATTCAATTATTTGATAATTAACTTGATACTGTGTGATTTCGATGTAAAATGTTCAGAAGTTTTTTCTTCAAAATTTATTCACCTGTAATTTCAATAGTGAAGTAAGAATTTTAAAAAAAGAACCCATTTGGAAGAAAATTGCTAATTTACACGCAACAATAACTCAGTAGCGAAGTGGTAAGACGGTATAATCAATTTTAACTATTGCCAGTTTTCAATGAATATCTCGGAATCTAAGGGAGATAGAAAGATTTTTGTTATAACATTTTTTGTAGAGCTGATTGAGACCTACAACAAATGTAATTACGAAAATTTCGCTATTTCTCTTAGATTCGGAAGTATTTTTCAAAAACTCGATTGGGAGATGAGTCGTTTTACCATTTCGCTACTGAACTACACTCATTTATAGAAAAATGCAATTGTCCACTAGTTTTACTCGCATTATTTGGCAGAACGAAATAATACGCAAAATTTTGATGACATTTCAATTCATTAATAGAAGAAGAGAATAGTGAGATGAGAATTTAAAAAAAGAGAACCCATTCGAAAGCAAATTGCCAATTTATTAGCAACAGTAACATTGGACTTTAATATTTAATTTTTCCTACTTAGAAATGATTGATAACGAACGGGCGGTCTGAACAGTGCGTACAACACTGTTTCCCCCTGTAGATTGTGTTCACAAACTGATTCTTATTCTCAAGAACGTCCTCGTCGTCCCAATGAGTATTCAAACTGCATTCTAATAAAAATTGTCTCTGTGTTTCAGGGAGTTCCACGACGATTTACTCGGTAAGACGATCAACACAAGTATTTATTTATAATGAAGTCGTGGAAATTGAGAAAATTAACTTGATGATATGTGAACGGGCGGTCTGAAAGTGCGTACAACACTTACCCCCTGTAGATTCGTTCTTAACTGATTTAATTTTCTCTCAAACGATTCCAAAGACATCTCCATCGAGAGCTGCCCCACGTGATCAATTATTTTACATTCTCTTTTTATCAATTTCAGGAGTTGAAGAACTGATCCGAGACATGTACAATTACGAACGATGTACTATTCCTAATAAAAATGACAGAAAATTCAAAATCATTTCTTTATTTATCGAATTTATCCTCCAATTTTCTTTCCAAAAAATAATTATTGGACTGCAGTTTTTAGTTCAACTTCTCTTAAACCATTTTTCAGGACAAATCATGCACTATTCCTCCTAAAAATGACAAAAAAATATTTTTTTTGCAGTTGATTCAGTCTCTCTTTGTTTTACCTTGAAGAATTGTAAAAATCACAGTTCCAATTAAAAAAAAAATTATTGGAGTGAAAATCTCAGTTCACTTTTCATTACATAATTCACTTGTCCATTTTTGGAACGAAAAAATTAACAATTTGGAACACGAAAGTGAATTTAAGCCACTGATGTCACCTCATTAAACCTCAGTTTTATTAAATTCAAGTCATAGAGTCGATACATCACAAATTTACTCCATCATCTTCATGCAACGTGTGGGGGAGGTGGAGGGATTTGCATGCCTCCAGCTAGAAGGGCAGGGGGAGGGGGTGGAACACCGTGGAACATGGGTGGTCGTGGGGGAGGAGGTACAGGCATCATTGGTGGCTGCATGCCCCCCCTGATCAGAGGGACTGGAGGCGGTGGAACCTTTCCAACCGATGGTTTTTCATTCTTGAATGCAAATTGGAGGAAAAATTGTTTCGTGTCTTTGTTCCAGTGAGTCCAGAATTTTCCTTCTGCCTTTTCAACTTCCCTTGAGGGTACCTGGAAAAAAATAGAAGAATCAATTAAACAATTCACAAGAACTAATTATCAAAGCACTGAGAAGAGAGAAATTAAAGTGAATTAAAGACATGAGAAATTATTTCTCCACATTTTTTTCTTCTTTGAAACATTAAGAATATTTGTTAAAATCATTTTCCCGTGAATAATGTTAATAAATGAAAGAATAAATGAGTAACTTAAATAAATGAACGAATAATAAACCAACTCCCCAGAATTAATTATCAACACACTAACAAGAGAGTAATTAAAGTGAATTAAAGACGAGAAATTATTTCTCCACATTTTTTTCTTCTTTGAAACATTAAGAGTATTTGTTAAAATCATTTTCCCATGAATAATGTTGATGAATGGAGAAATTGAATAAGTGAATGAATAATAAACCAACTCCTTAGAATTAATCATCAAAACTCTGAAAAGAGAAAAATTAAAGACATGAGAAATTATTTCTCCCCATTTCTTCTTTTTAAAACCTAAAAACATCTCGATAAAATCGTTTTCTCATGAATAATTTCAATAAATGAATGAATAAATTGAATGAATGAGCGACTGAAATAAAAAATCCTATCGTTTTTTACGAAAAAAAATAATTACTTTGAATGCAATAGTCTCATATGGTTCAGCCGCGAACAAGAGATACTGCCACTTGCGATCAGGTGGTTCAACCCTCTGTTCATAAGCTGACATGAACCTGTGCCTGGGTATGACGTTGTCGGCGACCTCCGGATAATCCACCTGAAACAATAGACTCTGCTGTCCAGTCTCAGGATCCCTCTGCTTCGTGACACGGTACCCAGGCCTTCCAATCTTCACGAACTTCTTGGGCTCGACCTTTGGCTTCTCTGGTGCCAGGGTCTGGGGTGCCTCTTTCGCCTCCTTGGCCGCTCGCCTGGCCAGATTGGCCTGGTGCTTCTTACCCTGGGTGTGGGCCAGGTAACTCCCCTCGTTGTTGTGAAGGGTCAAGCATAATTTACACTCGTACGAGCCCAAGTGATTTTTCATGAAGTAAGGGTCCTTGTTCAGGTCGATTGTTTCCAGGGCTAGCTGGCGGAGACGCTCCCGACGGTCTCGATTGCTCTCTGACCAGGAGGCCACACCTCCACCACCTGTTTTACCTCCAGGACGATTTTGAAAGTCCATTTTTCACTCTAGAAGAAAATAGGGATTTAATTCATATTTTTCATTTTTGAGGGGCTAAGGCCCGGGTGCACTATCTTTCGAACGTTATCTCGATGTTTTCTTCCATCTGTCGTCTTCTGAAATTGTCAATTGAGTCCTGCATCATGCACAAGTTTTGAGAAATTATAAATGAATAATCAAAAAAAGTAGAAAAAATTCTTTATTTTTTCAACGAGCATTTTTACTTTATATTCAGAATAAGGTGAATAACAAGAAATTGAAAAATGTGTCTGATTTACGGGGACACATGGCGGCCTGTCGACCAATATCATGCAGGGGGAAGACTGATTTCGTAAATCTTTTCTCACACTGCACAGAGACATTTATTACGGAAAAGGCTCTTTGAAAAAAGTTGTAATATTTTGGAGAATTTTTTAATCACACTTTTATCACGTAAAAATGGCAGATGACTACATACCACTGTTTTGAAAATTGAGATACCTAGCTGTCACTTCCCATGAGGAGTTAGTGTTTTGTTATCCACCATGGAAAATGACAGCTAATAGATAATTTGCCACAGCGAATCAGATATTTGTAATTTCCACTTTTTTCAACTCATTCTAAATCTCAATTAAAAACGCTCTTTGAAAAAGTTCAGAATTTTTTCTTTTTTTTATCATTCTATCATAATTCTTGGGAACTTCAACATGATGTACCACTCAATTGACAATTTTGGATTACGAAAGATGAAAAAATCCAGATAACACTCGAAAGATAGTACACCCGGGCCTTACAATGGGATTTTGGTAATTATTGAAAATGTTATAGGGGAGGGTGGGGTAAAATGGACACTTTGGATTTTTTTTAAATTACTTATAACTCAGAAACAAATTTATCAATGGAGCTCAGTTTAGGCTCATCACAAAGGGCAAGAATTGTTCTTTGGATTGAAAAAAAAAATTATTAAATTTCATCACCATTTCAATCTGTCATTAACATTTTTTAAAAAGTCAAAAGTGTCCATTTTACCCCAACCTCCCCTATACTGTATATTAGTCGTTGGTAGTGTGTAATAGTCGTACGTAATGAAGTAATTATTTTGGGAGGAAAATTTAATGACATTTTCTGCTGTATAATAAGGGGTTCTGTTGGGTTTATCGAGAATGAGGTAGAATGGACCTCCTTAAATCATCAATATCTCCTGACAAAATGATGCTATTTGAATGACTCAGGTCTCGTTTTAAAGTCTGAAAAAACACCTTCAAAATGAAAGAAAAATAGTCGATTTTCACTCTGCCGATCTTGAGTTATTGATGATTCAAGAGGTATATTTAGCCTCGTATCGATTATTGAGGAATAAAAGAGGGAAATAAGAATGATTCTTTCAACTTTATAATAAATAGGTGCAACTAATAATTTTGTCAATGTTATTATTTGTCTGGAAGTTATTTTAGACTAGATTTTAGAGGTTATATCGACCCCTTAGGCACCAGCAAAACCCAGAAGAATTGATTTGAACCATAATTAATTAATGAATAACGAAATAATTAATTCTGTGGATTAAACGTGTCAATCTACATATTTTTACTTACGATAATTATGTAAACCACAACACAACACAAATTTTGGAGCGGAGAGCTCCGAAACACACGCCAGAACGTTTACTGTTTACTCTCGACTCTGTTTTCATGGAGCGACTGTCAAAACTCGGATTGAAACACCAATTCGATTAATGAGAGCCCCAGAAGAATGAATAAAACAATTTCGTTGATGATTTTTTATTTTTCTCTAGAGTTTCAAAATTTTCAGGTGTCAAACCTCTCAGCTTTTGTTTAGAATTTGTCTTCTAAAATAAATACAAATTACAGTTGAATATTCTAAATTTAAGATAATTGCTTAATATATTACCGTAATGGGTATATTAAACTAGACACCAAAATTGAATCAATTGATCTGTTCTTCACCATCGTCTCCTCCATATTCCAAAATTCCTCCAAGATAAAATGTCTATAAAACCCAAAACTCCCTCGTCTCCCAAAAAATCCCCCTAAAAAACAATTTTGTTGATTTTTTATTTTCCTCTAGACTTTCAAAATTTTCAGGTATTAAATCCCCTAGTTGTTTTTTACAATTTGTCTTCTAAAATAATTACAGATTACAATTAAATACTCTAAATTTACGATAATTTTTGAAGGTAGGGGACGGTGGGGCAAAATGAAACACGGGCCAAAATGAAACAGCAAGAAAATCTTGTGATCTAAGGGAGATAGGACGATTTTCATAAAAACCTTTTTTGTAGAGAATTTTACAAGCTACATAAAAGGTCCTCTTCAAAAATGTCCTATCTCCTTTAGATGACGAGATTTTCCCACTGTTTCATTTTGCCCCATGCTCCCCTACTTTAAACCCTCCAAAATCTTCTCACTTTCCCTATTACATTTCTTTTACAATTTTATATTAAACTGAAAGCCAAAATTGAGTTATAATTGATCTCCATTCCAAAATTTCTCCAAGATAAAATCCCTCTAAAACCCAAAACTCCCTCGTCCCCCAAACATCCCCCTCCCATTCCCTAACCCCATCTAAAAGGAGAACCCATACTCCTCGAAGAACTTGCTCTGCCTCTCGACATTCTCCCTGTACTCCTCCAGAACATTATAAACAGTAGCCCACGCCAGATGATGATCAAACTCCTCGAGTCCCTCCTCTTCGTGGCTCGCCACGACATCCTCCATGTGTTTCCTCGTGTACTTCCCGTGGTCTGCATGGCTCGCGAATCCATGCCCCAGGTAGATCGTCTCCGCGGCAGTGACTCCAGGCGACAGGAACACGTCGACGGAGTACTCCAGCCTGACCTTGGTGGCGCAGATGAAGTCGCTGAAGTCGATGGTGTCGTAAACCACTGGAGGATTGACCCCCTCAGCCAGAGGCCCCGTGTGTCCACTGACCCTCGCCTGCCCTCGGTACAAGAGACGTTTGTCGATGGTCGGAAACCAGGTGCTGCTGGTGGGATTGACAGCCCTCCCCAGCTGATAAGCAATCAGTCCACTGATGGAGCTCCACTCCTTGTGCTTGAAGAAGAAATCCCCGCAGATGGTGTAGACCGCTGCCCTCAGCATGTCCGGCCTGTTGAAGGGTTCGCCCTTGGGCAGGTCCACGAAGATCTCCACGGAGATGTCGTAGAGCCCACACCGAGACTTCAGCGATTCCTCTGCTGTTTCTTCCGCCTGATCGTCCAGGTTGAAGTCGACGGGGGAGAGGGTCTCGCCTCGGTACATGGGGAAGACTCCTGTGGACGTTGAGGATGATGATGCCCTCGAGAGGTCACATGGAGTGCTGGACAAGACAGGCTGGGAGGGAAGACTGGGGGAGGACAGCGTCGATGCTGACGAGGAGGACGAAACGTCTGAAGACATGTTACAGAGGGCGAGGAGGACTTCTTGGTTAGATTCTTTCGTCTTTTGTTTTTCTGAGGCACGTGGGGGAGTAAAGACACTCAAGGCCGGATGATTTTGGGGTTCATGAGGCTGGGGTTGGGGAAGACGTCGGAGGGAGGATGTTCTGCTCAGCTTCTTTCAGGTGGATTTGGTTTTTTAGGCATGTCGGGGAAGAAAGAACAGTGGGGAAGTGTTTTTGTTCTCAAAATGGATGAGGAAGAGGATGAGGATGAGGAAGAGTTGGTGATTTTGGGTTTTATGAGTCAGGTTTTGGTATGAGGATGTGACAATGAAGATGAGGAAGTGTTTTTGGGAAGATTTTTTCACTTGTCTATGGTTTTTATGCAATAAAGAACACTGAGGGATGGTTTTTGTCTCCAAATGGATGAAGAGCTGGTGATTTTGGGTTTTGTGAGACAGGTTTTGGAGAGGACTTCTCAATGAAGATGAGGAAGTGCTTTTGGGGAGGTTTTTTCACTTGGTATGTGTATTCCTGAGGCACGTGGGTGAGTAAAAAATACTGGAGGACATGTTTTTTTCTTCTGAATGAACGAACGGGGGGTCGAATTGAGTTTTTTAACACAGTTTCTCGCAATTAGCTTCTTTCGCGAAATTAAGAGCCTCCGGAGACTGTTTTCTGCACTTGAGCGAAATAAAAGTCGCTGAGTTTTCGTTTTATTCAACAATTTCGTCCAATTTTAATTGAATATCGGGGTTTTAGAACACAACAAAGGACTTCCGGTTCGAATCACCCGCTGGGAAGTGATTTGGCTGTTGCCAACTTCAAAGGTCCGAAGATATCCCAAAGAAGATGAGGAAGATCTCCCAGTTAACTTTTTTGACGAAATAGAGTGGGACAGAGACTGTTTTTTGCTCTTTTCTAAAATTAAAAAAAAGAAATTCAATTAGTATTCTTTGGAAAAAAAACTTTAAACAAAATCCCACTTGAAAAAATTTAAAATGGATTTCGTAAGGAAAATTCATTTCAAATGAAAGAATTCGCCGAGGAAGGATTGACGGGGGAAAATTGGCGGGAATTTTTCAATTGGGAAGAAAACTCCCGCCGCCGGGTTTTTGTTGTGTGTAGATTTAAGCATTTTCAATCATCAAATTTTTCTATTAAATTGCGTGAGAAAAATTTGAATTTGATTTTTTTTTATTTTTCACTTAAATTGTGTGAGAAAAATTTGAAGAAAATCATGAATATTCAGCGTCATTAAAATTACGTTTTGCACAGAATTTTTTTTTTAAACATTCATTGCTTGTAAATGAATAATAGAAATTGTTTAAACTTTCGGAAACCTCATTTTTTAGGCGTGAAATCGATTCCTGGTAAAATTCTGAATATGAATAAATTTGTTGTAATTCCGATCAAAGATTTTTGTGGTGAAAAATTGATTGCTTATTAATTATTTGTAGAAAATAGTCGTAACTTTCGAAAATGGCGAATTCTTTAATCATTTCATCAAGCTGCCTCCGAAAGTAAACTTTCTATTTTTTTAGATTTTTAAAATATTTCCTAACGGTTCCATATCGAGATTAAAATTCAGCCCTGCAAAGTTTAAATAACAAAACCATTGTAAAACGTCCGGAAACTCAGACAAAAGTATTTGCTATCCTTAAGCATTCCTAAGGACATTGTACATTGCTGTACGGGTTCTAGGACCTTCGTTTCTAATCACCCGCTGGGAAGTACCTTATCCTCGAAATCAGCGAGTGTTTCGGCCAATTCACGAACTAATGGTGCCAGGTGACCCCCCCAATTTTCAATGGATTAGACAAGGATAGCATGTTCAATAGCGTTGGGAAATGGAGTGACGCCTTGGTGCCACCTGTTTTAGTTGTGCAAAAACTCCCTAATTACAGGTCCTGTCGCCAGCTTCAGGTAACAAAGTCGCCGGGAAGAATTGAGGGAACGAACGACGCGGCGCATGCATGTGTAATTACCTTCAGGGTACCGAGATTTTAGTGGAATTTTTAATCTAGAATAATTATTTAGGGAGATTTATGTATATTTCTAGAGACTAAATTAATAGAAAATCATATTTTTCACGTTGTTTGAATCGTCGTGAGGTTCAACATATTCGTGCACGCACGAAAAAAATTAATAGAAAAACCTATCGAATCCTAGAAAATTCTATTGAATTTCTGTTAAACTTTCTATTAGTTTTTGGCTGATTCTATTGACATGTTCACTAGAAAACATTCAATAGAAAAAGTCAACAGAATTCGATTTTTCTATATAACTTATTCTTTTCATATATTTTCTACAGAATTTGCTCGACTCAAATTTTCCAAGTTTTTTCATTTTATTTTTCTCTTCTTCTGATCAAGAAAATCAAACGAAAAAACTTGGAAAATTTGAGCCGAGGAAATTCTATAGAAAATATCTCAATAGAATAAGTTATACGGGAGGGTGGGGTAAAATGGACACGACATTTTTTTAAATGTTCATGGCTTGTTGAACTGTTCATGCAATGGAATAATTTTATTCTTCAGTAGAAAGAACAATGATTCCTCTTTGCGACGAGCTTAGACTGAGCGCAATTGATAAATCTGTTTCTGAGTTATGAATATTTAAAAAAAAGTCAAAAGTGTCCATTTTGCCCCATCCTCCCCTATAGAAAAATTGAATTCTATGGACTTTTTCTACTGAATATTTTCTATTGAACATTTCAATAGAATCGGTACATTTCAAAAACTAATAGAACAGTTCAATAGAAAATCAATAGAATTTTCTAACGAATTCGACAGGTTTTTCTATAAAATTTTTTCGCCCGTGTGAGGTCTTGCATAAAGGAATTTCCTCACAGCTGCATTCTTCTAGTTCATTTTTCCCGACTGAATTGTCGCTTGTCCAAGACTTGATTGCTATAAATCCCACCAGACGTTTGGAAATGCTCTCCTCTATGATTTAACCTGTTGGGGCGAGTCCCCAGACCTTGAAAATTCGTTAATTTCGCCAGGACATTGGAGTATTGTAATTTCTATTCAAGTCAGCCCCTCCCCTTTGCTTTATTTCTGACGAAATACTTTCGTAAATTTCTTGTTTTCGCTTGGTTTACGACTTAATCCCTTCCGTTCCCCGAGGGTTGTTGGAAAGAGGGGGACGGCCTCTACCTGGACTCGGCATTTTCCCATCGCCGGACGCGCGGCAACCCCCAGGGTTGCCAGATTTTGGCGATTTATAGCCAAAACCTGTACAATTTTAAATGGGGTGACGTCACGATCTGGTAACACTGGCAACCCTGCTCTCTCCCTGAATTTTCAGTGACCACCGCCCTCCAGTGCGTATCCGGGTGCCTTGCAAAATGATTCGTTGAACCCCCTCTGCCCCTAGAATAGGCGATACCTCACGGATGCTAAACCAAGCGGAGTTAGAGGGAAAACTAAAATTGTCATCACTTCTGTCCCAACTTCCGAGACGAACGATCTAACAGTGGAATTGAGGTGAACTCTACAACGCGAAGTTGTAGAAGAATTGACGAAATATAAAGAACTATTTGTGTCATAAATGTGTTTGAATATTTTTTTTAAATATCCCGCACTTGAGCCGAGTGGTTAGCGCTGCATGGGGAACTAGTCGCCCCTTTAAACGAAAATACCTAGACGGAAAACTACCCAACTCAGCTCAATACCACCGAACCGACGCTTGTGCGTGTGAATTCCTCGTGAAGTGGGTGTCGTTGCCGTCATTTACCCATTGGTGACTTTGAAACTTTTGAGGTTATAGGTTTTTTCGTCAACGACGGAGTGCAGCACATTGATAACTACTCAATGATCGATTGTTTGTAGAATCAGTGGAAAATCAGTGGTGATGCCATTAAACTCGTGATTCGGGGGTTATTGTCGTGATTATGAATCTTTGCGAACAGTAATTTGCACAAGTGCTGGGTGAGGAAGGGAAAATACGGAAAAATACGTCGATAATGTCGGCTACGAGTAATCGTATGATAATGTGGCAACATCGGATGGCCGATATGGCTGTTTGACGAATAATTTTGAGGAGAATTTAATTATTTTTGATCCGTAATTCGTTGTGTTGCGAGTACAGTTGGGAAAATTCATTCATCATGGTCAAGGAGAAGCCCAACTCCATCAGGATCTACGACTCGGAGGGGTACAGACGGAGGGCAGCGTGTATTTGCGTCAAAAACGACCTCGAGGATGAGGTAGGAACATAGAGGGCACTGGCCGATTCAACGTTCCATTAATTAGCGTTTGGGATTTTTGCATGGGGGCCGAACTTTCGGAGGGTTTTGTCGGGGATTTGATGAGGGATTTCAATCTGACATTGGGGATTTTTCAGGTGCTGCTGGTGACATCGAGCAGACGGCCTGACAGCTGGATCGTACCTGGTGGGGGGGTCGAACCGGAGGAAGATCCAGCTGTTACGGCGCTCAGAGAGGTCAGGGAAGAGGCTGGGGTGCTTGGGCAGCTTGGACGGTGCCTGGGGATCTTCGAGGTTCGTTTGACGTTTTTTATTTTTTTATAGAGATGATTTGGGGGATTTTGGCGCAGGATTACGCACCTTTGCTGCACGTTTTTTTATAGGAAATGTCCAGTAGAAAGTATTTTGTAGGAAAATCAGTTTCATCTTTCTGGGCAATTTTTTTTGTCCAGACGTTTTTTGTTGAGAATTTAATTTCGAAAATTTTGGAGAAGGCAAAAATTTAAGGATTTTTCTGTTTTCTAAGTGTTAATTCATTTTGAAAAACACTGGCTTGAAGAGAAAACTTGAAGGGAAATTCTCTTCTATTTTTTTATGCCATAGTATCATAGATTAAAATGTCTCCAAAATTTTCCGTATTATTTCATTCCGTAAAATAATTCGTTTGAGATTTTTTATTTCTTTATAGAGATGATTTGGGGGATTTTGGCGCAGGATTACGCAGCTTTGCTGCACGGTATTTTATAGGAAATGTCCAGTAGAAAGTATTTTGTAGGAAAATCAGTAGAGTTTCATCTTTCTGGGCAATTTTTTTTGTCCAGACGTTTTTTGTTGAGAATTTAATTTCGAAAATTTTGGAGAAGGCAAAAATTTAAGGATTTTTCTGTTTTCTAAGTGTTAATTCATTTTGAAAAACACTGGCTTGAAGAGAAAACTTGAAGGGAAATTCTCTTCTATTTTTTTATGCCATAGTATCATAGATTAAAATGTCTTCAAAATTTTGCGTATTATTTCATTCCGTAAAATGATTCGTTTGAGGTTTTTTATTTCTTTATAGAGATGATTTGGGGGGCTTTGGCGCAGGATTACGCACCTTTGCTGCACGTTTTTTTATAAGAAATGTCCAGTAGAAAGTATTTTGCAGGAAAAATCAGTAGAGTTTCATCTTTCTGGGCAATTTTTTTTGTCCAGACGTTTTTTGTTGAGAATTTAATTTCGAAAATTTTGGAGAAGGCAAAAATTTAAGGATTTTTCTGTTTTCTAAGTGTTAATTCATTTTGAAAAACACTGGCTTGAAGAGAAAACTTGAAGGGAAATTCTCTTCTATTTTTTCATACCATAGTATCATAGATTAAAATGTCCTCAAAATTATGCGTATTATTTCATTCCGTAAAATGATTCAATAGCGATAGACGAAGTGGTAAAACGGTACAAGTCAATTTTGACTATTGACCCGTTTTCAATGAATATCTCGGAATCTAAGGGAGATAGCAAAATTGTTGTTCTAACCTTTTTTGTAGAGCCGATTGAGTTCTCCAATAAACGTAATTAGGAAAATTTCGCTATTCCCCTTAGATTCGGAAAAATTCCTCAAAAACTGAACTGGGAGATCAGTCGACAAACCGTTTTACCACTTCGCTACTGAATTCTCCATTCGAATTCGTTTTCAGTCCGGGTTTAATCAAAGCCCGAGTTTTTGACTCACGACTAATTCCATTTTGCTGACAATTTTTTGAGCGATCGTTGAAAAATCGATTTTTGGAATCGATGAAAAAGTCAATTTTGTTCGAATTTGTGTGAAAAATTTGAATGAATTTCATTATGTCCAGAATATTGAACACAAGCATCGAACGCAAGTCTGGGTGATGCGAGTGACCGAGGAGCTGCCAGAGTGGGAGGACTCCCGTTCAATCGGCCGCAAGAGAAAATGGTTCACAATATCCGAGGCCCTGGTCCAGCTGGCCCAACACAAGCCCGTCCAACGCTCCTATCTCCACAGCCTGCGTAACACCAATCCCCGGAGGGTTGCATCAACTCCCACCCCCTCCCTCCATTCCCATCAAATACCGACTCCAATTCAACTCGTGACAAATTCAAACTCCGATCCACACTTCAGTAAAAACAGCTAATGTCAAATGAAATCAACTAAAACATTACTTTCTGAATTTTTAATAACGAGATGATAACACGATTGTAATATCCATTTTTTGTATTGCCTCGATGTTGCAGTGACAACGATAATCCACTCATCATTTGTACTTTATACATATACGAAGAAATTGTAACAATTCTGTAAGCTATTTAATTAACGAAATTATGAGCATGTGCTAGCTAGCTGAATGAATGATGTGAACGAAATAATGTGTTTACTGCGTATTGGGTTTATCACGAATTAGGACTGTCATTACTTAAATAAAAAATAGTTTATATGCTAATGGAGGAGGTTCTTATGCTTTTCCCTCAATTTTTTAAATTTTTTTTTCTGTCAGATTCGATATTCCGTTGTTCAATTAATCATGTTCTAATGCCTGTGCTCAACGAATAGATTTTAATCGTAATTAGGGGAGAGTGCGGTAAAACGGACACTTTAGACTTTTAAAATTATTCATAACTGAGAAACAGATTGATCAATTGAGCTCAGTTTAGCCTCGTCACAAAGGGAAAGAATTGTTCTTTATATTGAAAAAACAATTATTGAATTTTATCAACATTTCAACCCCTCATCAACATTTTTGAAAAACGTCAAAAGTGTCCATTTTACCCCAACCTTCCCTACTCTCATTTTCCTGTGACCTAAATAATTTGGACAATTGTAATTCGTTTATTCATGGTTCATATCTCAAAATATTGATCTATTTTCTTCTGAAATTGCTCGGCTAAAATTTTCCAAGTTTTTAAATTTGATTTTACATATTGAGGAATTCCTACAGAAAAACTCTCAGTAGAAAGTGTAGATGAGAAAAATGAAAGTGCACATTTTCTATGAAATAGTTTCTACTGGACACTTTTTCTATAATAAAGTACACAGTGAAGCTGCCGAATTCGTCAATAGAATCACCCAAAAACTAATGGAATGCCCCATTGAATTCGTTACGTTATTCAATGAAATTTTTACATACGTGTCAGCTTCTTCAATTTTTGTGGCACTGACTAATATGCCTGAGGCCGTTCTGTCCATCAGCTTCACACGATTCAAAAGGCATTGTCGACGGTGCTGACCCCCAAGCTCCTCGCCATTCTTCATTCCAAACATCTCGTGTTGTTCAGTGTTGTTGCACGTGCACACGTGCGTCCCTGATTGTCAACAATTGACAACAATCCACAAAAAAACACCCTCAATTAAAGCCACAGCAGTAAGTACGAAAAGAAACTCCAAATTCTGCTATCGTCTATTTAAAAAAGTAGATCTGCTGACCATCCCCAGCATTTCATCCCACAATTTCAAAGGTTATGATCAACGGCGGCCCGTCTCTTCAACTACACTGAGAGAAAAACGACGAAGTTCTCAAACAAGTCTCACTTGTGCCAAGAAAATAGTTTTTTGAAAATTATCAAAAAAGGATTTTTTTGTGCCAAACATGCAGAGAGTGCGCCGGAATGAAAAATTTTTGTCGCAAAAATCGATTTAGTAGTTCAAAACAAATTGCATTCTCTGTGCACGCAAGAATAGTATATTTCGTAACAAGTGCAAAAAAGTGTTTTTTGGCGAGTGGGAGGTTTATATCACGAGCTGAAGGCGAGTGAAAAACATTTTCAAGAAACTCCAAAAAATGTTTCCAAGAAATGTACTCCAAGAAATGTTTTTTGAAAACATTTTTTCACGAGTTACGAACAATATTTTTCATCACAATGAAAACAATAATAATGATATGATAGCAATCTTGTAACTTAGGGATAAAATATTTATTTATTTATTTCATCATATGTATACCCTCTCGGGCCTTTACATTTGTTCCCATCCCTACAATGAAACCCCGACAGAGAATTGCACTTAAAAATGATTAAACTAAATTAGGTCAAAGTAAATTACATTCAATTCAGTTGTGCTTGGCACAAGTTCTAGATATACAGATACAATGTTTGCACTTAGTAATAGCAGGGTACTGTATTTTTTATATCACAGTAAAAAATCTTATTTTTCAATTTTAAAGATTTTGAAGTTTTTTAATTTTTAAATTTTTTAAATTTTTTGTCAAAGCTCTTGACCGACTAGCGTCGCTATTATAAAATCCTTAAATGTCAGGGATAAAATATTTGTTGATAAATTTTCCTCTAAATGAGATATTTTCATCCCGAAAAGGCACCGTCTGGTGTGGCCTTTACATTTGTTGCCATCCCTACAATGAAACCCCGACAGAGAATTGCACTTAAAAATGATTAAACTAAATTAGGTCAAAGTAAATTACATTCAATTCAGTTGTGCTTGGCACAAGTTCTAGATATACAGATACAATGTTTGCACTTAGTAATAGCAGGGTACTGTATTTTTTATATCACAGTAAAAAATCTTATTTTTCAATTTTAAAGATTTTGAAGTTTTTTAATTTTTAAATTTTTTAAATTTTTTGTCAAAGCTCTTGACCGACTAGCGTCGCTATTATAAAATCCTTAAATGTCAGGGATAAAATATTTGTTGATAAATTTTCCTCTAAATGAGATATTTTCATCCCGAAAAGACACCGTCTGGTGTGAATTATCCGCCTCTTGAGCCAAATATTTCGTTGCTGTCGAAAGCAGAACAATTATTATGTTTGAGACTTTCAAATTCGAACCAAACAAATTCTTTTTTGGCAATTTGTAACTTGCGATTTTCTTGACCCAAACAAGACTTGTTTGACGTGTTTGTTTTTCTCTCAGTGCAGGCGACATTTCCTTTTAACATGTTAAAATGTTGAAATAATATCATAGGGGCGGGTGGGGTAAAATGGACACTTTTGACTTTTTAAAAAATACTCATAACTCATACACATATTTATCAATTCAGCTCAGTCTAGGCTCATCACAAGGGGGCAGAATGTTCCTTTTTATAAAAAAAAAGTAAAAAACTAAAAAGTGTCCATTTTACCCCATTGTCCCCTATAACCTTCCAGTTCCGTCTCCGCACCCTATCACACCCTTCGTTATTCACAAAAATTGACTCTTAAAAACAATCTGAATAATGAATGAATATCAGCCACCTCTGATGACGACTTAGCTTAACACGAGACCCCTCCACTTGCCCGCGCCCTTTCCCTAGTTCTCAACAGAATCCCCATGGATTCCGAAGAGATGGAGTGCCAGACCGAGGAGATGGAGCAGGCGGACGAGAGTGAGGACGACTCAATGGACGAAAAAGAAGAAGAAGAAGAAGAAGAGGAGGAGGCCAGCGACCCCACGAATGCAGAAGCCTCAAAACCCGAGGTGTACCTCCCAGGGAGGACCCTGGAGAAGGGAGAGGAGCTGGTGGTGGACATGTCTGCCTACAGGATGCTGCACCAGGCGCAGACAGGCGCCCCCTGCCTGAGCTTCGACGTAATCAGAGACGACCTGGGGAGCAGCAGAGAGGAGTATCCCCTGTCCATGTACCTGGTGGCAGGCACCCAGGCAGCCCGAGCCCACGTCAACAGTCTCCTAGTCATGAAGATGACGAATTTAAGCAGAACAAAAGCCAAGGATGACGACAACGATGATGACGAGGATGATGACGACGACGATGATGACGATGACGAGGACAAGGAGAAGACCTCACCGCAGATGAGTGTCGCATCGATAAAGCACCAGGGGTGCGTCAACAGGGTGAGGTGCACTCAAATGGGGGAGACTACGTTGGTGGCCAGTTGGAGCGAACTGGGGAAAGTCAGCATCTGGAACCTCCAGGAGCAGCTGAGGGCTGTGGACAGCCCCACGGGCTTGGCAGTGTACAATAAGAGGGTGGAGAGGCAGGAGAAGGGGGCAGAGGCTGCATTCACGTTCAAGGGGCACCTCTCGGAGGGCTATGGCATCGACTGGTGTCCGAATGAGGCTGGCACACTGGCCACTGGCGACTGCAGGGGGAACATTCACCTGTGGAGGCATGTGGGGGGGAGCTGGCATGTGGATCAACGCAGCTTTAATTCTCATGCCCCACACAGTGTGGAGGATCTTCAGTGGTCACCGAATGAGAAGAGTGTGCTGGCCTCTTGCTCTGTGGACAAGAGGTAATTGAGTCATTGAATTTATTGGGAGTTCTATTTTTTTTTATCTATTTGATTGGTAGGCGGATACTTTTTCCCCGGAAAAAATTTCTCGGACAAAATTTTCTAAAAAAAAATCCTCCGGAAGAAATTTCTTGTGTTGTGGTGAAAATAAAATCGGGAAATTTTTTCCGGGGAAAAAGATTCCTAGCATCATTTGCTTTGGTGGTGTAAGAGGAGTCTGCTTTACATCCACACTAGCCTTTCCTCTCAATTCTAGGTGGAAGTTAATGGATTTGGGTTTTTCTTCTGTAGAAATTGGGGATAAATTTTTCAGGTTTTTTTCGATGTATTTTCGTAATGGAATACAAGGAAAATGAGTGGATAATTGCATTTTTTAATTAATGGATATAGTAATTGTTGGTAATAAATTAGCAATTTGCTTCCTAATGGGTTCTCTTTTTTCAAATTCTTATTTCACTATTCTCTTCTTCTATTTTTTCATGTCATAATACTCCCATCAATTGTCATCATTTTGAGTGGTCGTTGAAAAACAGATTTTTGGAAAAATATAAATTTCACAATCAAAGACATTTTAGGACCGGTATATTCAACATGTATATTATCCCCTGGGCTATTCGATTCGGTCAACCTTAGATGTTTTAAAGGCATAAATTACATGGAAAGTGGGATGCTATATGCTATCCATTGACTTTCCGGACCTCTATACGAGGGAAATAATAATTCGGGTGTGCCTCCGAATTTTTTAATTTGTGCATTGATAATTATTCAATTATTTCCCTCGTATAGAGGTCCGGAAAGTCGATGGATAGCATATAGCATCCCACTTTCCACGTAATTTATGCCTTTAAAACATCTAAGGTTGACCGAATAGAATAGCCCAGGGGATAATATAGATGTTGGGTTTGGAAAAATATAAATTTTTTCGAATCTGTATGAAACATTGAATTTTAATTGGTGTTGATGAATGGAGTTTGTTAAAATCTATATTCATGGAATTCGACTGATCCCTTATAAGAAAATTTCGAGAAAAAAATTAGGAAAAAACATACATGAAGACACCATCTTAAAATGGCATATATCTTCCAGTATAAAAATATGGGACACCAGAGCGAGTCCCCAGTCAGCCTGCATGCTGACAGCAGCCAATGCCCACTCAGCAGACGTCAACGTAATCTCCTGGAACAAGAGAGAGCCTCGTTTTCTGGTGTCCGGTGGTGACGATGGCGCAGTTAAAATCTGGGACCTCCGACAGTTTGGAGCTGGCACCAACACCGCCATAGCCACATTCAAGCAGCACACAGCGCCTGTTACTACTGTTGAGTGGCATCCAGATGAGGCCACAGTGTTTGCATCTGGTGGGGCTGATGATCAGATCGCCCAGTGGGACCTCTCGGTTGAGGTTGATCAGGAGGGAGAGGCCGACAAAGAACTGGCTGATTTGCCACCACAGCTGTTATTCATTCATCAAGGACAGTCCGATGTCAAGGAGCTGCACTGGCATCCACAATGTCCCGGGGTGCTCATTTCAACTGCACATTCTGGATTCAACGTTTTCAGGACAATCAGTGTTTAAAATTATGATTAATTATCGTGGATTATTATTGGCTGTTTCTGGGATTTTTGAGAGAATAAATTCCTATCACGAAGACGATTCACTGGAGTCTTAATCACTAGTTATTCTACGAAATTCTCAATTATATAGTTTTTCTGAGACGAAAATAAGGGGTGACTGTGAGAAGTGACTAGATTTTCTACTAAGGAATGGGTTTATCCTTTTCTGCCATCAATATTTATTAAAAGTCCATAAGATACAATAATTTCTGAGAACCTATTCTATAACAAAGATCGAAAGTTTATCCATTCTTCAAACATGTTCCTCTTTAGACTGATGGGAGAGATGCCAGGCCAAGTCTGAAGTCTGAAGGTAAAAGCGATAGTAAGAACTACGAACTGATCTTTTTGTTGAGTCCTCGAAGGTCTTTCAAAAGAGCATTCACATCAATATAGATGATTAATTCAAATCTGTAATTTACACTGCGAAAATTGCTTGTCAACGCCTCTCATATTCATCGATTGCACATTGTGCTGCCTTTTCATAATTTCCAGAAAAACAATTGAATAAATATCGTATTATAGCACCATGAGGTCTTTGGTGGTGAGACTGGTCTTCAATATATTCTCAGTAGTTGCTGGCCCGTCTGCAAAGACAAGTTGCATTAAATAAACGTGATGATCATCGTGGAATATTGGAAACATTTGCTGAAATATTCAAATATTTGCTGACCAAACTGATACCAGGGCTCCGCATTTCCTGCATCCTTCCTCGCTGAATTCAGTGCATTTCTCAATGCTAGTGGTATACTGAAGGCCATGCAGAGTGGTGGCTCACCAATGGCTTTAAAATGCGAACAGAAAGAATTATAATCCTTCAACAAGAAAAAAAGTACGACTATTCCCACTCTATGTACCTTTCGAACGCAGCACTCCCACCGGATTTGGTGATCTCTTCCTGAATGCCACTCGGAAGTCCACTGGGATGTCCTTAGCACCCGGTGGTTTATAATTCTTGAAGGACGAAATCAAAGTTGTCATTGAAAAATTACCACGTGTGAAAAAACTCAATGGAAAATCCTAGCGCTCTCCGTAAGAAACTCTATTGGAAGTTCCACTAGTTTCTTGTCGATTTCTATTGGAAATATCGCAATTAAGAGGAAAGATTAACTAATGATTGCACGACTGATCACAGATTTATAACTTACGACCGTATGACTCATGACATTAAATAGAATTCAATTCTTTTTTCTACCGAAAACTCTAGGATTTTCCCTTAGCTGTTTCGCTCTAATCATTCATTTCCATCGAATATTTCACATACCCATGTGCGATTATTAACCAGAAGTCCACTCTTGGGGTCATAAATGAGGTCCTCAGAGGTCCAATAACCAGCTCCCATCACAAACGCCCCCTCTACCTGTCCCCTATCAATCTCCGGATTCATACTTATGCCAACATCCTCCAGTAGATCGACCCGTCGAATGACGTGTTGTCCCGTCAACATGTCTACCTCCACTTCACTAACCGTTACCGCGTATATTGGATAACCCTTCGATGAATCAGCTGGTAACCTGTCCATACGAATACATGAGACTTATATAATTTCCATAAAAGAAACAAATAGGATAGACTGGGGTAAAATCAACTTTCAACTTTTTTCTTCTTTCAGTAATCTCGATTGATGAATCTCTTTTTGAATCATGAACATTCAAGAGACAGTAAAAAGTCTCGATTTTGCCCGATTTTTTCGATGAACATGTAAAAAAATCAGACGTACATGGCTTGAACACAGAGATTAACATTTTCCTGAAAAGCAGCGAAAACCAATTCCTTCCACGTGGGGTTTGTCATTTTGTTTTTGATGGGCTCCAGTCGGTTCAGGAGCTCCTTGCAAGCAGTTATCGTTGCCTGAAGGAAGAAATAAAAATTATGGTCTCGTTAAAGGTCTCGACAATGTGTGAAAATTCCTAAAGAAATTTTTCGTTTGAAATTTCTTCCGCTAAAACAAAGGTCTTCTAACATTTGGTCCCAAAATTATACGCTTTTGAGATCCCCTCAGTAGTAATTAAATTTCTCATTCAATAATTACGTTTGCGGCTGATTCCGTGGAGATGCTGCCCCCAGTAACCGTATTATTCGGTGCGGCAAGATTATTCGTGGGCTTCACATTAATCATGTCAAGATCAATTCCCAGGGTGTAAGCAGCAACCTGAGCCACCTTGGTGTTGATCCCTTGACCAACCTCAATGCCTCCATGAAGAACAGCCACTGTTCCATCCCTTGGGTACACTGATATCAAGGCATTCCACATTCCCCCCAATTCGAGGGGATACTTCATGGGCATCAAACTTATGCCTCTCTTCTTCCATCTGTTTTCCTAGAAAATCAGAGAACATCACTTCATCCACCCCTTCCCCTCAATGATTCGAACAAAGTGGACATTGTCATACTTTATTGAACATTCTGACAGCCTCCACTCTTGCAGTGTAGTCCGACGTCTGTTTAATGTCGGCAATCATTCGACTCAGTGGCTCTTTATCCGTTGCATTCATATTGTTCAGACGCACTTCAACTGGGTCTTTGCCGAGTGCCTGCGCTATGTTCTCCATCATATTCTCTGCCATTGCCACTCCCTCAGTGGAGCCTGAATCAATTTCGATACGAAAAAGTTTATTTCGGTTTTTGGGGATTTCTATTGGAAATCTCACCACTCTTCCAGTGCTAAATATATTTTACAAGAAATAATAGATGGAAAAAAATCTGAAGAATCGCTGGAGGCCCATAGATTCGATATCTAGCGATTGTTCCCATTATATTTAGCTTACCTGGCGCTCTGGCATACGTATTGGATGGAACATCAGTATGAACTTCGTTTGCCACGGAAGCCCATGTGGTCTTGTCATAGCATGAATATGAGTGCATCATGCTCTGTGCCGCGATGGGATCGTTAAACGAACTGCCAGCATTGTGCCAACTTTGTTGCTTCAAGTACTGAATTACCCCATCAGCATCGACACCGATCTCATAGTCATGCTTGACTGCGAATCTTTTGCCTATTATAGTCATGTTACTCTCGATCGTCATGATCAAACGAGCTGGACGGTTTAATACGTGTGCTGCAACAGCACATCCACAACTGATCCAGGAGTTTCGTGATAGTTTTGCACCGTAGGAGCCTCCCAGCCTTCTAACACTGATGTTGATGCTGAAACACGAATGATAGAGATTTCACGTGTAAAAAAGTCTAATAGGAAATGCCAGCGCATAGGCTAGCAAATTTTTATAAGTTTTTTGCCGATCTATTGAAAATTCTCTAGCTTTTCCGCACGTTTTTTCCAATAGAAAAAAATCAGCGGGTTTTGATTTTTTTCTAAAACAGTCTGTTGGGATTTCATCTACAGAAATTTCTCAGTATAAATTTTTGTACTGAATCTGTATTAAATTGATTCAGGTGTCGAAAATGAGGTAATTCACCGGTTATTTGCGATCCCAAGACACGAAGCCATCGAAGTCTGCGCAAGATCTATAAAATGAGAGCTCGGGTAAACGTCCATTCCATCTTCCGTTGGGATACACACGCAAGACTGCGGCTCCATCGTGAAGTGATACTGAGGCCCACAATTGAATGTGTCTTTTATTACTTTCTTAACTGGATTTGTGCCTGTTGAAATCAGTTTCATTGTTACAATATACTAAAACGAAATTCATAGCGAAAAAGAAAATGATGTTATTACGTTTGAAATTTCCTCTTTCAATGGAATTACTTCGAAAGATTTTACGAAATGAGAAATTATTTAAGAATGAAATAATGTTTGTATTAATATTAATTGTATAATATAATATAAATATTATATTGATATTAATGCTAATAACAATGTTTATGGTTACTGAGTCGTAATAATTCTGTATAAGGAAATCATCCTCAATTTCAATGAATCATCATATCCTAATGATACTCATAATTACGTCAATTGAATAATTATGATAAACACCTTGTCTGTCAGCAGGAACATTCGCTTTTTCCTGGACTCTGTTTTTATCCCCAGAGTCAATAGCATCTTGGTTCGTTATTATCGGTTTCTCTTTCGATACGTCTGTATAAGTGACTTTCACTTTCTTCACGGCTTCGCTGGCAAGTGCATGAGTCTCAGCGCAAATTAGGCCAATCGGCTGGCCAGCGAACTCAACTACTCCATCGGCAAACAGCTGTGAATGAATAAAGTGCACAGATAAATTGAAGTTTAGATGAAATGGAATGTTGAACTTGAGAGTGATGATCACCTTTTCATCGTTGGAGTTCATTGAGTCCTTGTTCGCCGAATCGATGGCGAGATTCTTGCCTGGGACGTCCTTCGCTGATAGGAAGGCAACAACACCCTCCATTGCCTATTAATGAAATGATAAGAGATGATAATCTTGTGAAACGACTGAGTTTCCTTATCCTCAAAACAATGAGAATCATTACCAAAGCTTCAGAGGCATCTATATTCGTGATTTTTCCGCTGGAGAAGATAGTGTGCACGAAGGCACAAAAAACCTCCCGGGGCTGTGGTGGTATGTCATTGACGTACTCCGCCTCTCCAGACGTCTGATAGATCGACTCAGTCTTGGGGAGTGGTTTATTGTACGGCCAGAGTGACTTGTCCGTTTCATAATCAACCCTCCCAGACGAGAGATCACGCTCCAGTATCGTTCCACCACTGCGCAACTTCTCGTCTACTGTTTCTGGTTTCACACTCAGGACGAACTGCAATAGCAACAAAACGCTTCAATGACTTCATCTCCTTGTGTCCATTCTCTTTTCCGTTGTAATAGGCGAAACAAGTAGAACGATTGGAGATCATTGACCTTGGTACTCCCTTGAGATGTTTGAGAGAATATATTTTACCTTGTAGAACAATCCCTGCGCCAGATTTTTCCTAAACTCTGGAGAATAATCTGGCAGAACGTGATCAGGATTCAATTCTGATGCCAGTGTTTCCAGGGCCTGTTTGAGGATACTCTTGTCTAATATGCGTTTGCCAGTTAGGTAATTTTCGGTGGCAGTGGCGTGCAGCTGTAGAACCAATCAGTGGAGAATTTATTATGCAATGGTAGAATTTCTAGTTTAGTAGTGAAAGGCAGAAGAAAATCTAGTCTGAAGTGAATGGATATTCTCAGTAGGAAATTGATGAATGTCTTCGCAGATTGGAACTGCCATACTTACGAAATCAGATCTAATGCCACCGAAGATGATATTCGGTTGTCCTTGCACTAATCCAGAGGCATCAAGTTTGAGAAGAAATCCAGCATTCACGTGGGCATGTGCATTTTGCGCTCTCGGCATTATCTGTAAACATTAGGATTTCTTCTTAATTCATGTAAATATAAGGAATTCTATAATTACCTTGTAAGATCGATAGACATGCTCGGGCTTCAATGCTGGTAACACAATACTGTATATGATCTTGTGTTTCATATCCATCTTCATGAATTCCATAAAGTTAATCTCCTTCTTCTGCCCCGGTGACTCAACTGCATGAGAAAAATTCCCACATTAAGAAGAAGCGGGTCATGGTCGTCATGAATAACTTTAAAATAAGAAAGCTAATGAGGATACTATCTGATGAATCTATCACGCAACATGCAGCTGAGAAGAATGAAAAGGCTATGGTAGAACAAATAAACAGTTACGTATGTGTAATTTTGCTCCAGCAGTCTCCAGTATAAGAAACAGATCCGATGGGAATTCGTTGTGTTGGTGTTTTATCATCAGGTTCCCAGCCAATGTGCCTATCTGCAATTTCAAGAGAATTCCTTTCCTCAATCATCACTCGTCCCATTCCTCAATTTTGTTGATGGGTGTCCGCTGGCTGGGAGGAAGGAAAGAAACGTTCATGTGATGGAGACACTTACATTGCGCACTGGTACACTAGCGATTAGGTCCACATGATCTGCCATTTGGCGAAGATGACTGAAACCTGTATCTCCAGAGTATTTGATGAAGCTATTCTTGATGACTGTTAGAGAGACATTTCCACCCAGGATTAGGCTGTCTGCTGTCTTCTCGACTCTACGAAGATCGCTGATGTCATTGAGGTCGATGTATAGCTGGGGCTTTTCGAGTCGATAGACACCTGGGGAAATGGTAACTCTTTTATTATCTGATAATTTTACTGACAGATTGTCAATCTCTTACCGTGCGCTGTATTACCACCATTGAGAACGTAACTTGCATTTGGATTGCTAGTGAATACTCCGAATAGACTGTCAATGTCAAGTACTTTTTGAAATTTAACATCTCCGAACTCCATGCGAACCTCCTCCAATATTGTGGGCTCTTCCGAAGAACTGCAATCGCCCTTGCATGGCTTGCCCGATTTCGGACATGTTTTCAATTTGTATAACTCCTGAGAACATGAGTTTCAAATTGTATCACTAGGCAATTCTATTGGAGATTCCATCAGTATTTTACTGATTTCGATTGAAGACTTCACAGCTTCTGCGCGCGTTATATTTGATAGAACAATTCAATAGGAACTCATCACCTACCTCAATGTCTTGAATCCTTTGTACCATAGCAGGATCTGCATCATTCCCTAGACCCTTGAAAGCCTCCAGAATGGGACGGTAACCAGTGCAACGACAAATATTGCTACCGAATGAATTCTCAATCTCTTTCATCGACATCTCCTTACCCTGCATCAGACTGTAGTGCACGCGCCCATGAATATGCGCTTCTTTTTAACAAACATGATTTTAAACATACCTGTACATATTCATGACCATTCCGGGAGAGCAATAGCCGCACTGAGAGCCGTTCATCTCCGCAAGTGTCGCCTGAATCTTGTGGTAACCCGTTTTTCTATTCCCTATGCCCTCGATAGTCTTGATTTTCCATCTTATTGTAATTAAGAATACCGTTAATTCAGATCAATAACGCAACCCCAGGATTTTCAATGAATTGAGATGGATTCCCTCGTGACATTTCATTTCCAAGTTTTTCTTTGAAAATCCCAATTCATTAGAAATTCAGCTTTTGAAACTTTGCAGAAGTTCAGTTCAAACGAATCGACTTCAAGCATTGTAAAATATGGAAATAATAGAGTGCTTATCATTTACTACCGCTACAACATGCTGTCTTAACATGCCATAATATCTCATTGATAACTCCCATTCTTACCCATTGCAAATAAGAACTGGCACGAGGCATGAATTAACTGCTAATGTTTCCCCATGAATTTCCGCAGCCACAATGCATGCCCCACAGCCACCCTCGAGGCACATGTACTTGGTGCCCCGCAAGAGCGCATGATCTCTGATGAAGACATTGAGCGAAGTCTCTGGTCTCACTTCCTCGTTGACTGAGAACACCAGAAATTTCAAGTATGAAAAAATTCAATAAAAACCTTATCGAATTCCCCAGAGGTTTCTGTTGGAATTCTCTAGAAATTCTATGAGGCTTCTATTAAAATTCTAGGGAATTCTCGTTAAAATTCGATTTGGTTTTCGATATTGACTTTCGGAAAAAATCAATAGATTTTTATTTGTCTGGTCGTAATTTTCTCTTGAGATTTTTTATATTAAAATTATTAGGCACGGATTTCCCAAGTTTTTTCCGCTATATTTTGTTTTGTTTTGCATTATTATGGAATTAACGCAAAAAACAAATAAAATTTTAAAGAGAATTTTTTTTTTATTTGCCCGGGAGAACCCGGTGATTCTTTTTCCCGGCTGGGTGAAGCGGAAATTTTTTCTCTCTAAATTCTAATTCTCTTAGAATTTTTTTTTTTTTTTTTTTT